GAGGGGAGGAGGGGGTGAAGGGAGGGCAGGGATAAGGGGGAAAAATGGGAACCAAGACATGTCCTGTAGAGGTACAAGATCCCAACAATGAATGTAACTGTACTATATCCCTAAAATGTACCAATAAACTCAAAGCTGAAGAAAACCCTCAACTGATGCAAAGCAAAAAAAATAGTTGAAGTTATGCAGGGCATCCTTGCACATGCCTGTGACCATCCGGGTACTCTGGGAGGCTGGGGTGGGAAAATCACAAGTTCAAGTCCAGCCTGGGTAACTTATTCACTCAGTAAGACCCTGTCTCAAAAAAAAAAATAAAAAAAAAAAAAAAAAAAAAAGACCTGGGGTCATAGCTCAATGCAATAGTCCTGGGATCCCTAGGGCCAAAAAAAGGAAGAGACCAGGGACGTAACTCAATGGTGCCACCTGCCTGGCAAGGGCAAGGTTCTGAGTTTGATCCCTGGTGCTGGAAAACAAGAAAATAGAAAAAAGAAAAAAAATTAGCATATGCATCAGTACAAGTCACTTGGCTTGTGAATTCGTCCAATCATCGTGTCTGTGATGCTTCCCTTGAATCTAGAGGCACCTATATGCGCTGGGCCAAAGGGAGTTTTTCCTGAAATCTTTACCAGCATAGATGGGGAAAGCAGCTATCATTTTTTGAAAACAACAAACCAAAAACAAACAACAAAGACCCCCAAACAAAACTACTCACAGGAAAAATAAACCAACACAGAATCAAAATTGAAAAAGGAGAACAAAATGTGGTCACACATGCCTATAACTCCAGCACTCTGGAAGGCTGAGCCAGGATTGAAGATTAGAGCCCAGCTTGAACAATGTCTTTTCTTTTCCTTTTTTTTTTTTTTGAGACAGGGTCTTGCTATGTAGTGCTATGTAGTGCTATCCCTTGAACTTACTATGTAGCCAGGCTGACCTTCAATGCCCAGTGCTCTTCCTGCCTCAGCCTCTTGAGTGTTGGGATTACAGGTGTGCGCCATCACACCTGGCAGCCTGGGCAATTTAGTGACATGGTACCTGTTTCAAAATAAAAAAATTGAAAAGTGTTGAGGATACAGCTCAATGCAAAGGGTCTGCATTTCATCTCTAGTAACACACGCACGCACGCACGCACGCACACAGTTGTCACGCAGCTAACCAGTAAGTTAAATTAATATGACTTAGAGCGTCATTTGTGCTGAGCTAGATTACTCTGCACTCCTCTAGCTCGGGGACACAAGAGGAGCTGTCAATAGGGCCTGTTTTCCTCCTAAACAGTTTGGGAAGCTCTGTGGTCTGAACTGGTGGCTCCTTGTTCAGGAAAGCCTCGTCTCACTCGTGTAAGACCTGGTGCCTGCTGCAGAGAGCCCACCATTCAATCGCTGGCATGAGACCCAGAAACCTAGGCTCGTTCCTGCGTGTCCTCAGAAGAAAGACATCTATTTTCAGCTGTATATGTGACCCTCTCATCCTAAGCTTAATATTTGCTTTTTTGTTTGTTTTTTTGAGACAGGTCTCACTATGTAGTTGAGACTGCCCTGAAACTCACTATGTAGCTACTACTTCCAAAGATGCAGACAAATGTATGGCACAAGCTTAGCCAGCCCCGCCTGGTACTCTGTGACTCATGGCTACTGCCTGCCCCAGGCGGGCACAGGTCACTTCCTTCTGATGTCATCCCCGGGAGGAGAATTCACAGGATTATAAAAGACTTTGCCTTTGCTGACTTGCTGACTAAAAGGAAATGATCAGGACAAAGTTCCATTTGGCCAGTGGCCTTTTTTTAAAAAATGTTGGAGTCAAATCCAGAGCCTGGGACCATCTGGGCAATGACTCTACCCTTAGCTACCTCCACATCCCAGAAAGTTCAACCGGGAACGTGTTGAGTGTGATGTTACCGAGGGGCTCTTGGGCAGCACCGTCTGATGGACAATCAGCTATATGTCAAGGCCTCAGATTTAGATTTGGGGATTGGTGCAACCTCGGGTGTGAGTGAGACAATCTAAGAATTTGTAGAATGACAGAAGTAAACTCAGGACAGAGCCCTAGGGATGGCGATGTTTATGGAGTTGATAGGGGAAATGGAATTAGTGAGGCTGATAACGACGAGACGGAGTTTCCAAGACGACAGAAGAAAAAGAGGAATGACTTGTGTCTCAGTAGCCCCAAGAGGAAAGAACTGCAGGAACTAAAAAGTGGTCAGCACAGAGAAGAGGACTAATAAGAGAACAAGGACCACAGGGTCCCACTAGGTTCACAAAGGCAGGTCTCTGGTGATGCTGCGAAGGGTGGCTTTGGAGAGAGTGCAGATGTCAGGGGGTGGGAGACCTCACAGAATGGTCACAGAATGGAGTGTGTCCCTGCTGCTTGGCAGTACCCGAAAGGAATGGGAAGGACACAGACACAATGAGACGAGGAGGAGAGAGCCGAAGAGCAGCCGGCTGTTTGGGGAGTGGGATTTTGTCCGAGTACAGTAGTACTTCTAGGTTATGACCCGGGGGTGACCGGCCAGAGCTGTATGAAGGGCAAAGGTCACTGGAGACGTTAAGGTGTAGAATGTCTTATCCACAAGGGCACTAAACTGTCCAGGGTGGTGCCAATACTTCCCTTGGGAATCCTGTGCCCTCAGTGAACGCTGAGGAAGTGGACAGACGGCAGCTGTGTTAGAGGGAGCCTCCAAGAAGAGCAGTGGATGGATGAGGGTATGGTGGGCAGGGAGGGCTCTGTCATCCTTGTCCCGCAGGAGGTGAGCTGTGGCGATGAACTGTCTTCCGAGAGGGGTGCTTGGAAGCCGCACCCCCAAACAGCTCTGGAAGCTCAAGCAGTGGCAGGGAAGCTGGAGGGCAGCCCAAGGTCGGACAAGAGAGGCCAGTGACTGGACGGACCTGCGTTCAGTGAAATAGCTGGCATGACAGGCTGCGGGGGGCTGGCTGACAAGCTGTGTGGACCGCGGCTGCAGGCTGTGTCTACAGCCTGATGCCGTCCAGGCTCCCAGCAGAAATTCTGTGCAGGGCCTGGCCCTAGGGGAGGGATGGGTGGTGGGTGATTAGCCCTGAATCAGAACGGAAGCAGACACTGGTCTCCCGCCCGGGCCCACCCCACCCTGGGCGGATCTATCCATCTCTGTCATGGATCCTGAGGCCTCCCTCTCCCTCTGTGGGTCAGCCACACTCTTCAGGCAGGACGGACTGTTTCTAGCCTTAGCGGTGTCCACCTTAGTCACTCAGAGAAACCTCCTTCTCCTGGCCCTGAGGATGGTTCAGGAAAGGGCCTAACATAGCTCTGCCCTTCCTTGGGTCTTCACCTTTCTCTGCCCACTTTTCTTTGCTTTAGGGTGGCATGAAAGACACTGGCCCATACAGACTGAAGCCCAGGCATCTACCTGCACGGATGGTGTGGTGTAAGGACTTGTGATCTGCAAAACCTTCGGCCGTCTCTGCCCTCCTGAGGTAAAGCAACCCATTTAACGGAACCAGTAGGGTGTATATATAAATACAGTTGTGCATTGCTTAATGGCAAGGATACATTCTGAGAAATGTGTCACTGGGATGTGATTTGGTCATCATACAAACATCATGACAGAGTGTATTTACACAAACTAAGGTGGCTACGACGACACCATTGCACACGTGGTCTATTACTGACTGAAACGCAGCAGGACAGAAGATTTATTATGGGAACCAGGTGAAGTAAGTATGGAGGACAAGAAGCCCTACGATACGTTATCTGCAACCCGGGAAAGCCACTGGCCTAATTCAGTCCGAGTCTGAAGAACCAGAGAAGCTGATGGTCCCGATGTGGAGCTGATAACCAAGAGGTCTACGCCAAAGCAGGAGGAGGCAGGTTCCAGCTCAAGGGCAGAGCTTCCCACCTGTGGGAGACGGCGCCTGGGCTTCCCTGTGTCCCATCAGCTCTGCCGCCCTGGCTCCTGGGCCTGCACGGTGCAGTCCAGAGCTCCTGGCCCTTGAGGACTGTGCTTCGGACAGCAAGCTCCGTGAGAGTACCGGGCCTCCAGCAGGTCTGGGGTCCCAGATTTGTGTGTGCATTTTGGAGAATCTTTTGCAGGATCACACCTGACTTTCTTAGTAATCTCCCCGAGTTAGCTCTCTGCTCCTGAGAACGTTTCCTCTTGTCTCGGAACTTTACCTACAGTTATTGTCTAAGATTCCTCCCTCCTCTCATAACCAGTGAATATCAAGTGCCACCTTTTCTGAGCTCCATTCACAACAGTGAACACAGCAGACAGAACTGTATCCTCAGGGCATGCAGGTTTATGTTCTTTCTTCTTTGTTATAGGAGGCTTGAACCCAAGGCCTTGTGCATGCCATGCCCTATTGCTTTATTAATATTTTGCATTATAAAGTAATTTTACAGCATTTTACTACATTAACAGAGGCAAGGTAACATGTCGGAGTTGTTTTAAGTTTAAACTTTCTTGTTGGGCTGGGGATTTAGCTCAGTGGTTCTGCTGCCTGCCTCACAAGCACAAGGTCCCAAGTTCAATCCCTGGTATCTCCCCACCATTCTTATTGTCAGAACAGTGAACATTTCCCCATGCAATTGTGTATTAATTTTATTTCTCCTTCTTCTTTTTTTTTTTTTTTGAAAACGTAAGTATAAATCTACTATTCACCTAGAGGTAGCTAGGTAAAATGCAGGCATAATGGTAAAAAGGAAATAGTCAATTGTACAGTGCTCAGCTTCAAACCGAAACCTGTAAGGGGAAGAAAGGTCTCGGTGCCTTCAGGACCAGGCAGGTAACATAAACAGGTCAGGTGAGACCATCTAAGGTGAGAGTATAAAGAGAGGCAACTTCTACTTAGTTCTAACTGATTGTCCCTCTTTTAAAACTGCAGATCAGAACTGTCACACTTTCTGATTGCTCAAGAGAAGCCAGAAATTCTGATTTTAATATGAAACCCCTTGATTTTTAAAGGGCAGCTCAATTTTCTTGCAAACACTGGGAAGCTAAATCAAGCTGACAGTGCCTAATCTTCCACGCTCTGCTGTACCAATGATGGACGGTGTCTCCCCTGACTGTGGTATTAGACTGCCACTCTTCAGACACCACTTGCCATTGCAACAGAGGCACCCAAGCACAGCTGGAGTCCTGAGCCCTGGAGAAAAGCTAACTCTGCAGGGAAAGTGGCGAGCTCAGCTGAACCACCCAGGCACGGAACAGGCCACCTTGGCCACCTGCCCACCTCTAGGACTAAATGGTCGACTGCTCCTGCAGGAAGCCTTCAGGACCTGGGAGGCTTTTCTCTGGCTCAGAAGCCAGAGCTGCCTCTCGAAGGACTTCCAGGTGCTCCTCGGCAGCTGACAGGGACTGGTCGATCCAATCCAGGCCCCCGGTCAGGTGACAGGCATTCCTGGTCACCAGCACGAGATGACTGACAGACAGAAGTAGGGCAGTCGTCTGTGCATCCAGCAGCTTGGGGTCCAGTGGAGGGTACATGGACTTCACAACGTCATCCACTCTGGGGCTGATCCGCTTGGCCACCACAATGATGTCACTGACGCTGGCTGAAGTCTTCATCTTGGTCCCTGAGCCCATTGCCATGACAACAAGCTTTTCTGTTAGAGTGTGACAAATCTTCAAGATGGCAATGCAATGGGACATGAGACCCGAGGCATCTTCAATCCAGTCTTCATTCTCCAGAATGGCCTCAGTGTGGGGGTTGGTGATGACAACATCATCCAGTTCTAATTCAGAGGGCTCAGACTGGGTCTCCATGGCACCAATGAGGTCCACAATGGGCCCCCGCCTGCAGCTCCCGAGCCCCACGGCTCCCGCAGCCCCACCGATGGTGAAGTTCGTCTCCTTCTTTGTTTAGCTATTGGTACTTTGGTGTTTTTATACATTTAGACAAGTCTGTACATGTTGGAAGTATTTTGCTTGTTCTTTGGCTGGGACCTTTTCCTCAAGTTATGATCTTTTTAAAATTCTGCCCAGTTCATATATGTCTATATCTGTTTGCAGTCCTGGGAATTAAACCCAGGGATGATCTCCTACTGAACTATATCCCCTGCCTTTTAAATTTTATTTTCAGACTGAGTTTTTCTAAATTGCCCAGAAGGGATTCAAAAATGCAAACCTCCTGCCTCAGCCTCCTCCAGTGCTGGGATGACCAATGTGCAGTGCCACACGAGGCTTTTATTTTATTTTATTTTGTGGTGGTCTTGGGTATCGGACCCAGTGTCTTACACATGTTAGGCAAGTGTTCTTTAAATTTTTTATTAGTCCCGGTCTGCAGTTCATAATAATTACGTTTATCGTGGGGTTTGTACATGTACATAACACATCTTAATTCTCTTCCCCCTTCTCCTTTCCCTCCCTGCAGCTCCTCCTCTTGTTCCTCTTCTTATTTCCAAATGCTCTATTTCGGGCCGGGGATTCAGCTCAGTGGTACTGTAGCCTGCCTTGCAAGCACAAGGTCCTGAGTTCGATTCCTGGTACCAAAAAAAAAAAAATCCAAATACTCTATTTCCATTTTGTTCTTCAATTCTTTCTCTCTTTTTTTTTTTTTTTAAAAATCCATTTTCATTCATTTCCTCCACTTCCCTCCACCTCTTGTTTCCCTTCTCATTTGAAAAACATCTCCCTATTTTCCTTTTTTGTTTTTCTGGTACTGGAGATCGAACTCAAGACCTTGCACTTGAGAGGCAGGTGGCAGAACCACTCAGCTAAATCGCCGGCCCTCCTTACTTTCTATTATCTATCTTTATTTGGCTCTTTATTTTTTCTTTGGGTTTCTCATACAAGAGAAACCATGTGATATTTAAATTTACATATCTGATTTATTTCGCTTAACATATGGTCTCAAAGTGCAACCATTTACCTACAGATGACTCGCCTATCCTTCTTTAGGGCACAGTAGTACTCCATTACATATAAATACCATATTTTATTATCCATTCATCTGTTGATGGGCATATATTATAGGCCATGTCCAAGATTTACCTAATAAGAATTGTGCTGCTGTAAACATGGGTATGCATGTGCCACTGTAATATGATGTCTTTAACTCTTTTGGGAGGAGAATAGCTAGGTCAATAAGAATTTCTAGTTTGGTTTTTGAGGAGGCTCCATACTGATTTCCATAGTGGATGTACTACTTAACATCCCCACCAATAATATAGAAGGGTTTCTTTTTCCCTGAAGCCTTACCAGTATTTGTTATTATTTTCTTTCTTTCTTTCTTTTTCTTTTTATTGAGTTTGTTGGTACATTCTGGGCATACAGTACAGTTACATTCATCACTGGGATCTTGTACCTTTACACGACAGGTCTTCGTTCTCATTTTTCCCCCTTGTTCTTTCTTTTTCCTTTCTTTCTTTCTTTGTTTTGGTTGCTGTTTTTTTTTGAGACAAGATTTCACTGTGTAGCTCAGGCTGGCTTTGAACTCATTATGTAGCCAAGGCTGGCCTTGAACTCATAGTAATCCTCCTGCCTCAGCCTCCTGAGTGCTGGGATCATAGGAATGTGCCACCATGACCGGCTTATTTGATTTCTTGGTGACGGCCATTTTTTTGGAGTAAGAAGGAATCTCAATGTTGTTTGAATTTGCATTTCTCTAATGGCCAATGATGTTAAATGTTTTCTAAGTGTATTTATGGCCATCTATACTTCACCTGAATATACAGTATCTATTCATTTCAGTTGCCCATGTCTTGATTGGTTTTTTTATTTGGTGGGGGTCTAACTTTTTAAGTTCCTTATACATTCTGGAGGTCAGTACTGTCTGAGGAATACCATCAAACATTTTTCCCATTCTGTGGGCTGTCTATTCACTCTGTTGGCTGTTTCCTTTAATATGCTGAAGCTTTTTAATTTGCTATGGTCTGTTTATTGGTTCTCGACATTATTTCTTGGGTCAGTGGGGTTCTGTTCAGAAAGTCTTTGTTAGTCAAGTGTTCTAAGGCTGAAGTACATCCCCATCCTTTTTTAATTTTTAGCTTTGAGACTGGGTCTCATTGAGTTGCTCGGGTTGGTCTCAAAGTTGTGATCCTCCTGTCTCAGCCTCCCAAGAATCTTGGATTACAGATGTGAGCTGCCATGCCAGGCCAGTTTTTATATTTACGAATGTCGACTACCTGTTCAGGTCTTCTATTGTTTCCAAGCCTTGAAAATTTTGACATTATCCATAAGCAGAACAGCTTTATCCTATTTGATGCAGTATTTATGGCGTTTCTTTCAAATTATTTACCATTTTAATTTTTGTGACTTTTTTTTGGGGGGGTGAAAGAAAAGATGGTTTATTTGGGGCGAAAAGATAGAAAAGAAAAAGGATGAGGGCCAGGGATTTACCACAGTGGTTCCGCCGCTTGCCTTGCAAGTGCAGGACCCGAGTTCGACCCCCGGTACCAAAAAGAAAAAAGGATAGGCGACTCCCATGAGGTGCTAAGGGGCTTCAGAGCTGAAAGCGCCCGGTCAGAATTTATTCTGGTACATAATGTGACATGTTGCATTTTTTCCTCCAGATTTTCATTCATTTGCAGCGCATTCCCAGCGTAGTTCATCCTTCATGCTGCGTTGTTCCAGACCCTTCCGTCACTGTACGCCTCGTCAGTCCATCTTTGTCCCCTCTGATTCCTTGCAGCTGAGCTGTTTCTGTTTTTGAATCCGGCTTTAGCGCCAGAGCGGCGGTGACCAAGGAACAGGGCGCCCCCTAGGGGCCGCGGTCCCCAGACCTAGGAAGCCTGGGATTAGGCCTTGGGCTTGGGCTCAGTGGTCCCCACCCGGGGGACGGAGTCACTGCGGCCGGTGGGAAGACTCTGGCCAGCTCTGTGGTTATTATTTTCATTCACTTCTGTCCCCACTAGGGCCGCTGCTGGAGGAGGTGTGGAGGCAGCCACGGCGCAAACGTGAAAAGGTGTGCAGACCCACGGTGTGCCAGACGCCCGGGTGGCCGAGTCGCGTGCAGAGCCAGCCCCGAGCACTGACAGCCAGGTCTGGCAGCCGAAATGGAAATCAGGCTCCAAACCAGGAGTGGTGGCCCGTGTCTGTAATCCCAGCACTAGGAGGCTGAGGCAGGAGGATCGCTGCGAGTTCGAGGTCAGCCTGGCCTACGAAAACAAACAAAGCAAAAACAAAACAAACAAAAAACATAACAAAAACAAAATCAAATTTCAAGCCTCTCAGGAGAGCGGCAGAAGTCCTGGTGGGTGTCACAGGAGCGCGGTCTGTCGCAAGCGGGGAGCAAGGACAGTAATAATAGGCAGATGCCAGTATCCTTTTTAGATGCTTTAATGACACAGCACACTTCTCCTAACTACCGCCCGTCAGTTGCCACTCCCTGCACCTGCACAGATCCGAGGAGTGCGACTTTCTTCTCCTGTAAGGTGATTTGTAGTCAGCGCCCACGTCTCCGGGGGTGCCCTCCGATGTCCTGGAGCTGTGTCTTGGCTGTGACCTAGTGCAAGGTCACATATGCGGCCAGTGGCCACCAAGTCTCTGGGTCACCGAGTTCAACGAGCTGGTCTTCCGCGCTCTCTCCTGTATACTAAACTCTAGGGCTGTGTGGCACTGATTCGGGCTTATCTGTTACACCTCAGGCAGGATTTACAGATGGTCAAGGGTATTAGGTCACTTCACGCAGGAGGGCCTCACAAGTGCTTATCATGTCAGGGAGCAACTCCTACACCCACACTTACGCCCGCTGTGCAGGGGCCCTGCAGGGGCTCTCCCCACTTACCAGTCCTGTTCAGTCATGGCCCCCGTCGCGGCCTCAGGCTCAGTGACAGCCTCAGGGCTTGCTGTCATTGGAAAAGGATGTAAATAGTATAATGAATTTTGCAGTAGCTGTTTGCTCTCCACACGTCCTGGGGACATCGGGGACGCGCTGGACCAGCTACCCCGCCCCGAGGTTCAGCCCATGGGGGAGGAAGGCTGCGCGCGCCTGATCTCGCCTGCGGGTGGCGCCCAGCAGAGGGAGCTCGGGGCCAGGCCAGCCGGGCCGCGTGGTGGGGAGCAGGCGCTGGACCCGGAGAGGCCCTCGCGGGGCTGACGATTCTGCCTGGAAACCCCCGGAGAATCAAAAGGAAATGCAGGTGAGCCGAGCGGAGGGGAAAGATGTTCAAAGTGAGTCCTGGAATCCCAGGACTCTGGGGGGCCCAGGAAGGAGGGCTGCAGGTTGGAGATCAATCTGCAGGATTGAGTGAGCGACTTAGGCCCTGTCATGCCAAGGGGAAGAAGGACTTGGAGGAAGGGAGGGAGAGGAGGAGGAGGGGAGAGACAGGGACGGAGACAGAGGAGCCCGAGACTTAGCTCAGTACGGCAGTGTGAAGGCTGTGGGTTCAATTCCTAGTACCACAAAAGCAAAGCAGCCCCCTTCCCCCAAAGCCAGCGCTGAACCCGGCAAGTCCTGGGATCCTGGGACTTGGTCCTCAGCGCGTCGGCCCTGGGGAAGGACTTTGTCCAGCACTAGGAAGACGGGCTCTACGCGACACTTTGAACGCGTTCCTCAGCCCTGCGCGACAACCTGTCTCTCTGTCTCCGTCTCTTTTCTCTCCAGCGTCGGGCTGGCCTTGGGCTGGGGTCACAGGCAGTGCCACAGTCAGTCCTCCGTGGGAACTGCCTCGTTTCTTTGTGCTCGTGTGCAGTTTCCCTGGGAAGAAGTTCCATAACTTTTATGATGGCCAAAGAGGTCACGACCTTAGTTTGCGTAAGACGACGCTGGTCTACAACCCATGCTAGCGGGTTTATGGATCCAGAGCTTTGCCCCTGACCCTCGGCCCAGCCCCGGCCCTGGCATCAGGTCGCGTAGGGGAGCGTTTGGTTCTCCTGCAAGGGCAGATAGAGCCTGAACTTG